GTACCATTCACAGTTCCACTGTGCCTATCAGTTGGCCGACTGGTGTCTCCACCACATCTGCACCAACTACAACAACGTGTGCCGCAAGTTCCCACGAGACATGAAGGCCATGTCCCCAGGTGAGTCTCTGAGCCAGGCCCAGCAGCTCCGGTAGCAGGAGCTAACCTGGACCATGGGCAGGACTGGGCTCAGTGCTGACCTGGGGCTACCTCCTAACTCAGCGCCCTTTGCGTTGTGCTCCAGAAAACCAGGAGTACTTCGAGAAGCACCGGTGGCCACCAGTCTGGTACCTGAAAGAAGAGGACCACTATCAGCGCGCGCGGAAAGAACGCGAGAAAGAGGACTATTTGCACCTGCGGAGGCAGCCCAAGCGGCGGTGGCTGTTCTGGAACAGTCCCTCATCACCGTCCTCCTCAGCAGCGGGCTCGGCGTCCCCGTCCTCCTCCTCGGCTGTGGTCTGAGATGCTGCCACCCTCTTCTGATCCTGCTGCTGTTGTCCTCATTAGCCCTTATCCCTTCTGCTCTTCTTTATCATCCTCTCCACCCGACAGGGGACGAGGGAACTCACCTAACCAGGGCCCTAAGGGCAGAGCTGTTCTCACCAGCCAATATGGCTCAGGCCAAGAGGAGCCAGGGCCCTGCAGATCAGAACAGGGTCCACCTACAATTCCAGGCAGGGCAGGGAAGCATCTGCTCCGAGGTGGGGAGCAGGAAAAGAACTCAGAGCTCTTGATAATTCTCTCTCTGGACTTGACAATAGAGTCAACGGAAGAAAGCTTCCCTGTACATGGGCTTGTCTGGTTTGGTCTCTGCTTTGGCCGGGGAGGCAGCTCCCTCCTCAGGAGCTGGTCATGTTTTTTTCCACCAGCACACTTGAGGGTTGCAAGTATTCTGTGAGCATTGTCCTGTGGGCTTACTCAGATCCCGCTTGAGAGGTCAGGGTGGAAAAGAAGTCTGCAGAGCCCGTATCAAGGCTTCTGCACCCTGCCATGTGGCTGCTGGGGCGGGGCGGGGGGCGGGGGGCAGGGAATGGAGTACACTGCATCCTGCTAGCGCCTTTTCAGGGCTGCAGGCAATGCAGCCAGACCTACTGGTGGGCGGCAGCCCTGATGAGGGTTCAGGTTTGTAGGCAATGAGCCTTCTACTTCGGCCCTCCCGTACTCCTCACATGTGGACATGAATGGAGGAGGAGGAAGAGGAGGAGGAGGAGGAGGAGGAGGAAGGGTGGGTTCTCTGCTCAGCAAGCCCATGCTCCTCTAGGCTTCTTCCCCTGTCTCTGGGTGGCACTGCTTTTTTATGGGGTGAGGCAAAAAGTAGCCCAACAAATGAAAACCAAACTCAAAAGAAAATCACCACCAAGACCACTCTATCCTTTGGGCACTGCGCCCCCACCCCCAAGAAAGAATGAAGTTCCAAAAAGAGAGCCTGGAGGGAAGACATTTACAAAGCCGAAGGGGGCCTCTATAATAAGGTGGATATGAAGGGTCGGTAGTACCAGCCACTCCAATGCCTTTCAGGAGAGGGCTGGTCCCCTCCATATCTGAGGATGCTGTTGCCCGAGGCGCGGTGGTTATAGGTTGCAGGGTCGCAGGGGAGGTTTTGGCTTCCAGGCTTAAGTAGCTTTGGACTTTTTTCCATCTTGATAAAGGCTAGCCTCCTCTTCCAAGGGCGACTTCACAGGATGTACACTGAGCATGTGCTTTCGGGGATGGGGTGGGTGGGGTGGGAGGCTTTTGGCAGGGGTTAAATGCCAGGAAAGGACACACTGGAGAACAGGCCACACAGCTCACCCTGGTTCTGGTTGAGGATCAAGGGGAGAGCTGGGCAGGAAGGAAATGTTAGTCCAGAGAGGAATCTGGGTGACTGGAGAAAGAACACAATAGCTTGAAGCCCCCATGGAACAAACACTGGGCCTCAGTTGACCCTTTCCATTTCCTAATTGTGATCCATACTTCACCACCTTTTAGCATGTTTTAGACTTATGAGGTAAAGTCCCACGAGGCAGTAGGAAGTACTTACTGACTGATCCCCCGGACCTAGATAGGTTGCTTAGGTCTGGGATTAAAGCAAACCCAGAAGCAAAGGCAGCCCTCCAATTGTGTGGTACCGGGACCTAGAGTTCTGATCTTGCTTTGTCAGGAGAAACAGGCGGGTCTCCCAGAGTGCTGAACTTGGGAGCCTGGACCCACCAAGACTGCAGCTGCCTCTTGGTCAAGTCCTCCAGACTTGCTGGCTGGGGAAGCGTGTTGTGTGCTGCCCTCTGCTGGCTAGTGTGCTCTCCTGCAGCTGAGCTCTAAAAGGCTTCAAGCGTGAAGATGAGGAGTCCGTAAGCCTGGAAAAGGCAGAGCCTCTCACACCTTCCTTTGAGGGCAGAGTTAGGGGTACATCTCTTGGGAGCTGCAGGTAATAAGTAGAGTCCAGTCCTAATGAGCAAGGGGAATTGGGTCTCTCAGTCGAGCCGCCTGGGCATTCACTAGTGATGAGGATGGACAGGGACAGGCCAGTGGGAGAAAGTGAAGATTTGTGGAGTTGGTGGAAGTCCAAGGAAGACCATGCCCCAGCCAGGCCAGTTCACCCCTCAGGGACCCACCTCCCTACCCCCCACAGCTGTCAGAGCCAGTGTGTACCAGGTAGAGCCCTACAGCCTAGTAGAAGCACCCAGGGGGACTGAGTGAGCCAGGAAAGGGGAGGTGCAAATTGCAGTCCCAGTCCATGGGTGCTCTGGATTCCAGGGAGACAGAAGCAGGAGACACTCCAGTGGGGGGCAAGCCTCTGGCATAAAAGCCCCCCTGTCAGGGGGCGGGCAGTGACAGAAGAACAAGCTCCCCTGGACTGGACTATGTCACTCAGTATTGTCTTAGAAGATGGGGGCAAAAACAAATGAACAACAACAACAACAACAAAAAAACCCACACCTTTTTATATAAGGTTTCATATTTAATTTGGTCATGAATTCATAATACATGAGTATTTTGTACCTAATGGCATGCCTTGTTTTATTTATTTTATGTTACCAACATGTTTCCAAGGGAGTCAAAGAAAGGGCATCAAATGTGGTGGTGAAACATATACCTACTTTGAGGCTGGTCCGGAGCCCAGCAAACCCTGATGGACAATTCCAACATCTGCATGTAGGCACAGTGCTGATACCCAGAATAACAGCCTCTCCAGGCACTGTCCTGCTGTGTGACGAGAATGTGTTGGAGGAGGTTTGGCCAGAAGCTGGGCCGACAGACTGAGGACTTAAGGAGATGGCTCAGCGGTTTAGAACACTTGCTCTTGCAGAAGACCTGGGCTTGGTTCCCAGCACCCACATAGTGGATCACAACTATCTGTAACTCTAGTTCAAGGTGATCAGAGGTCGCTGTCTGACCTACAAGAGCACCAGGCACGTATGCCATGCGCAGATATGCAGGCAAAACACTCATACATCTACAAAAAAAATTCAATTATTTACCTTTACTTTTTTAATTAAGAAAAATTTTCATTTATTTTACACACCAATCAAAGATTCCCCTTTCTGTCCTCCTGCCCCCCCCCCAGCCTCCCCTCCCAACCCACCTCCCAGCGGTGGCATACCCATTTAATCCCAGAACTTGGAAGGCAGATGCGGGCAGATCTCTGAATTGGAGGCCATCCTTATCTGCATAGTGAGTTCAAGATTAGCTAAGGCTACATACATATTTAGAATCTGTCTCAAAGGCAAATTAGTTTTTAAAAACAGAATAGGAATCGACACAGGACAAAAATCTAAATGTGCCAGCTCTCCAGAAATCCCTATCACAATATTTTAATTATAATTATTTATGGCTATGGTGATGCACACAAGTAATTCCAGTTTGAAGGAGGCTAAGGCGGGAGGATTGTGGGTGAGGGCAGTCTGGGATTCATAGCCAAGACCCAGACTCAAAACCCAAACCCAAAGAACTGACATTTCAGTGTTCAGTACTGTACAGTGCTCAGGTGCTTACAGAGAACATGGTCCTCAAGTATGGGTTTCTATGCCCCAATGTGGCTCAGGGCTTGATTCACTAGAACTGAGAATTCATGAGTTACTAGTATTTCACATTCATATATACCATCCCTGAGAGCATGCAGGTATCAGGAGCAAGTCTCTGTCCCCTCCTCCCTTGACCCTAGGAAGGACTCAAAGTCACTAACATTAAATGCACATGAGCTTATTAGGCACCTCTAGCCTAACTTACCTCCCATCTCCTCACCCCAGCCATAGATGAGAAGTCTAGATAGGAACCAACATTATAACACTGTAAAAGAGGACTCATGAAATTGGCTTACATGCCTAGGACCACAGAGCCCTGGAGCCTCTCAGTCCAAATAAGAGGAGTCAAAAGATACCCTAAACCAAGGCTGATGGTCTGAGACGCCTTGGAGAGTCGCTGGGGTTGAGTCCGTGTGGAAAGGTCAGAAAGGCTGGAGAAGGGTGTCCCCTGGTGATGGTGTCAGCAGCAGACAGACCGTGAAGAATGGAGTTTGCAGGCACTGGCTGCCTCCTCCTCCCTTTCATCCCATTCACGGCCCCAGCCTATTGGATAGGGCTACCCAATCTATGGCAAGTCTTCCCATCTCAGCTGCTGTTCTACATGTCAATCCTCTCTGGAAACGCCCTCACAGACACACCCAAAAGCTTGTGCTACAATCTCCTAGGCACCTCTCAACTGGATTTTAAAAATTACATTTACTTTGTGTACACACACACACACACACACACACACACACACACACACACACACACGCTCATGCCACATCACACACACACACAGGCCAGAAGACAACTTGTAGGAGTCTGTTCTTCTCTCCCATGATATGGTTTCTGGGGATAGAGCTTGGGTCATCACGCTTGGTGGCAAGCACCTTTATCTGCTGAGCCATCTCCCTGGCCCAGCCCCTCACCATCTAAATCAAGATTACCCATCACCAATGGCCATGGACCAGCCATGTCCATCACAGTGGATACAGTTCCCAAGTCTTGACTCATCTGGCAACACCTACTTGTAAACATGTAAGTATTTATAGACACCTATAAAGTCATTAACTTAGAGATTAATAAACTGGGGTTGTAGCCCAGTGGCAAAGAAAGTGCTAAGAATGAACTGGGACCTGCATCCAGTACCCAGAACCATAAGACAAAGACAAACAGAAATATAAAGTGGTATAGCTTAAAAGACCCAGTTATCCACACCTAGACAGGGCAGGTATATGTAAAGGAGGACTGGGAACCCAGATTAAGGAGAATCGAGGCCATGGAATGAAACAGAAGTTGTTTCTTCGGGGTCTCAGAGGCACTTGGAGCCAGGAAGCCACTGATTCCCCAGCAGGTGGTAGAAAAGGGGGTGGGGGATGGGCCGCCACAGGTAGTGCTTTTTACGTTCTCTGTGTGTCCAGACCAGCAAACTCACTGGAGAGAGTGAGAAATCTGTTCACCTGGGAGTTAGATTCCAGACCGACCCTCAACCTGTGATCCAGGGGAGCTGTGCAGCTGTGTGGTTGAGCAGCGGTCTGGTTGGTTTGGAGTCTAACAACAAAGAGAAGTGTCCTTGGCTGGAAACTGGTGACCTTTTAGCTGTTCTCAAGGACAGCTAAAATTTCTATACTCGGGCTGTTTTGTGCTTCCCTCTGTTACAGGGAGGTGGGGGGGGGGGCAGAGGGCAGTTTGTCTGTGGACAAGGGGTTTTGGTAGACATGTGAAATGAACATGTTAGACCCTGGGACAGGAGTACCCTCTTTGTTTACATAGTCAGCTCTCAACACGTTTACACAGCATATGATAATTTACCAATAGAATGCATGTTACAGGTTTTCATGTAGCCCAACTGACCTCAAACTCTTGATCTTCCTGGCTCCACCTCCGGAGGGCCAGAAAGATAGGCTGGTTCTACCATACCCTGCCAATTGTGCCCTGTCCAGGCACAGAAGGCAAACCAAGATGCTGGAGATGCATTTGAGTGTTCGAATGCTGGCCTAGAGTTCATAAGGCTCTGGGTCCAGCTTCCAGTATGACAACAATACAGTAATATGACAATAAATACAAAAAGATACAATAAAATTAATTCTAAAGACACTGAAGGTCTTTAGACCCATTGCCGCTCCCTGTTCTTTTAAGACAGGCCCTCTCTACACAATCCTAGCTGTACTGAGTTCACCATATACACCAGGCTGGTCTTGAACTCATAGAGATTCTCCCAGCTCTGTCTCCTCAGTGCTGGCGTGTGTCACCATGTCTGGCTCTGCTGTAGCCTGTTGATAAACGAACTTTCCAGATTTCACGGCATGGTCTTCAATTTCGTGCCGGGCACACCTCTCTCCCACGGCCTCCAAGGCCTCCAGCAGATGGTTGATGGAGGCATCCCGGCCCGTTTGGTTGAGCCACTTCAGCAGCATTTGGTACAAGACTTCTCGTAGGGTCGGTGTTTCAGCTCTGACCACTTCAATCTCATTGTCTGTGAGGCCCATCTGCCGCATGAGGCTGTTCCAGGAGTTATAGGGCACAGCGTTCGGACAGTAACTGAAGATTTGCTTCAGGGCTGGGGGTCAGGAAACAGGGGGGGCAGGTCAGCTGCAAGCCCTTCACAGAGCGTGGAGATCCTAAATCAGATCCAGAAGCCAAGGGGAGGACCTAATGCCCTCCCTTGCCATTCCATGGATGCTGCTGTAGCCTCACCACACCCAAAGCCCACCAGGAACCTGGGTGCTGGAGAGATGGCTCAGCTGTTAAGAGTACTGACTACTCCACCAGAGGACTCGGGTTCGATTCCCGACACCCACATGGCGGCTCACAGCCATCTGGTGCTGTAGTCCCAGGAACTCTGACACATTTTCAGGCCTCTGCAAGGCACTAGGCATGCAAGGGCTGCACAGACATACATGCAGGCAAAACACCCAGATATACAAGGTACATTTTTTAAAGAAGGTTTTTTTTTTTTTTTTTAAATATACCTTAAAAAAAAAAAAAAAAGAATCCTGTTCTCCAAGAGGGCTGCTGGCCCAGTGGGAGAAGGAGCAGAGATTGTGTGTGTGTGTGTGTGTGTGTGTGTGTAGAAGGGTGTTAGCACATGGCATGAACCACAGAGGGGCACAGGGGGGGGGGTGCATAGTATCTCAGGGAAAGGAGGCTGTTGTAGGCTGTATTCGTGGTGAATGGGGTACAGGGCAAGCCTATCTTGTCCACGGAGGACCTGTCCATGCCAGCTGACCGCTCTCACATGCTGCACCACGGCCACTAGATGGTGTATAAGGAATGGCTGAAAATCTGAACCTGTCGCTAGGTCACGGAAACTCACCTATGCGGTTAGGATGACGTAAATGAGGTGTGTACGAAATGTGTCATCATGCAGCTCGAGAAACAGAAGGAGCAGGGATAGCGGTCCCATGAGCCCCAGGAGTCACCAGGACACGTTCTAACAGCCTTATTTAACAGCCAGTGAGAGGAGGGTTAGAGGTGTAGCTTAACTGGTAGAATATTTACCCAGTATACTCAAAATCCTGGGCTGAGTCCCAAGCATTCTAGCACTGAGAATGGGGGCTGAAGGGAGAGCCCCGGGGGTTAAAAGTACATACTGCTCTTGCAGGGGACCTAAGTTCTGTTCCCGGAACCCATGTGAAACTAACTTACTAACGAAATACGAAAGGAAACAAGCGCCATTTGATTCTTTGACTCCTGAAATGGTTTCCATCCATTCTGCACAGCATCTCTGAAGTCACGTTTGGGATTTAGAGTACATACAGCTCATCAAACTAAGTCTGGCCACGTCAGGAGCTTCTAATTCAAGGCCCGTGGGTATTACCACAGGCCAGTGCGCCATTCTGGAGGCCCTGGTGGAGGCAGGGGTGGGAACTACGAGGGAGAAGGGAGGGGCGGTGGCAGAGTGGAAGGACAGAGAGATTCTAACAATTCTGTCCTGATGGAGACAGAAGGGAGGAGAGGGGGAGTTATGGTCCCTAAGTCCAGTGACAACAGTACAGGCTTTGCATCCATCCTCAGCTGTCACGGCCGAGCACTATGTGCCACGGGAATGACCGCTGGAATATCCCCCCGGGCTTCTATGTTATTATTGCCTCATGCAAAACACTCACCACCAACCTCGTCGATTCCATTTGCTGGACCCAGCAACTTCCTTCCTGTTGGAGAACTCACGGTTTCCTCAGGTTCCTGTAAACAAACGTCACAGACACCCTGGTCAGAGTCAGGAGATCTGGGGCCCAGGCCTGATCCTGATCACCAGACTTAGGTTACAGTACCACCCTTCTAACGTCTCTGTGAAGACACAGGTAAGCTTCCTGCCTCCGTTGCTTGAAGGCTCTTGATGCTGGTGGCCTAGTGTGGCATAAATGCTCACATCCAGTGTTCTGCGACAAGTGTGCAACCGTATAAGCCTCCATCACGACTGAACATCCCCCTTACTCTGGGGTTTTCCTTCTGGCCAACCTCTCTGCCCCAGGCTTCTTACAAAACTCCGTTGGAGACTACAGAGGAGAGAGCTTTGCAAGATCCAAGGTCAAGATTTGTTTCAAGGCTCTAAAGGCGTTTATTAATCAATAATAACAACGTACACATCAACTGTCTAAGTATGGAAATGAAAACAATAGCATTGGGGATGGGAAGGTATCTGGTACAGATGAATAGGAGATTTGACTGTTTAAAGGGTTTTTAGTGTACGTGTATGTGTGTCTATGTGATGTAGGTCATGTGTATGAGAGAGGGAGCTGTGGAGGCCAGAAGAGGGTATCAGGTGCCCTGGAACTGGAGTTACAGGCAGTTCTGAGCCACCCAATGCAGGTGCTGAGAACGGAACCCAGAGGTCCTCTGAAAGAGCTAACTGCTGAGTTGGCTCTCCAGCTCCTAAATTTGACTTTTAAAAAACAAACTGGCACCAAAGGATACTGTAAATCTCAAAGGTGGGGGAAAGATCACTGACCCAAGTCATCATGGACAAATTAATTAAAGCAGGTTTTTGATTGGTACTCACAGGCTGCCTCACCCTAACGCAGGATTTGAGAGGTCAGCATTGGATGTGGGGAAGACAGGTCTTAGAGAACTCAGGGTACGGGGGGTGGAGGGGGGGGCGGGGGGAGGCTTCAAACTGGGGATTTGGCAGACAAAATAGGTGGGGTTACAGGTACAGACCATGAGCGTAACAAGCCAGTCCTACATGGGCTCCTGAAACAAAGACAAGGTTGCAAGGTGGGCATAACAAGGCAATCACAACCACTGGTAGTCATAACAACAGGTAGTCACAGGTGGTCACATAACCTTCTGAAACAAAGGTCGGGTTGCAAGGTGGTTATTAAATTTTGAAACAAAGACATGATTGCCATTTCTAGAAACAGGCAGCACAGAACCACTGTAGCTAAGTTTTGAAAAAACAAGTGCCTACTTATTTTAATATACTTGAAAATCTCATGTACAGCGGAGTATTGTATATATGTCTGTCTGTGAGTCTTTCGTGTAAATGATTTTGATATGGCATAAAAGTTTAAAGAAAAGATCCAAAGAAGCTGGCATCACCTTCATCTCTGGGGGGCGGGGGGGGGCTGCAGGGTCCTCTGACCAATCACTGAGCTCTTTCTACACTGTTAGCAGTCCATCACTTGAGCGGAGCGGCTGGTGACCGTTTTTAAATTGTATTTCCCTTTCTCTTTAGGAAATAAAAACTGAGCATAGTTGCAAAAATGACACAGAACTCGTCCAGGTGGAAGGAAGTCCCTGTCAGGATGAACATTTGACTGGTGAGTGAGGAGGGACGGGGAGGGGGGGAGGGCTCAATATTTAAATGGAATTGGGGGGGGGGCTATGAGTGGCAAGAAGTAAATGTATCTGCCGATTTTAACCGTTAAAAATGAACCGTTTTAACTGTTAAAAATGAAATATTAGAACAAATTGAGGGACAAACTTTAGGAACTTGGGCCTGGGGGGATGGCCCAGTCAGTAAAGTGGTGGCCGCACAAGTCTGAGGGCCTGAGTCCAGATGCCTAATCCTGCATCAAAGCCGGGCCCAGAGCTGAAGTAACTCCAGTCCCCGAGGATTCGACACCCTCTTCTGACCCCCTCAGGCTCCAGAAACACACGCAGCGCACATACATACATTCAGGCGAAACACTCATACACATAACATAAAATAAGGGGCTGGAGAGGTGGCTCAGAGGTTAAGAGCACTGGCTGCTCTTCCAGAGGACCTGGGTTTGATTCCCAGAACCCATATGGCAGCTCACAACTGGCTGTAAACTCCAGTTCTAGGGGATCCGATGCCCTCTTCTGGCCTCCATGGTCACCAGGCATGCATGCGGTGCACAGACAGACATGTAAACGAAACAACCAGCCACATAAAATTAAAGACGCTCGGCTCTTCAGCAGAGTCACAGTCTCCGGGCGGGGGCTGTCATTGCAGGACTGACCGTGTCGCAGTGAGAGTCATTTCCCACGCTGGACGTCGGCACTCTCATGAGAAACTCATTCACAGAGCTTGCACTTCCAGGGTCCCGTTGATGGCCTAGGAGAGAAGGAGGTTCCCCAGAGTAAGTGGGCGGGGGACTGACTCATCAGCCCTTTTGATCTGAGCGGAGTGAGCTAGAGGCTCCAACACTGGATAAGGGGGGGGCATTCCTGCTTGGGGGCTACCCTCAGGCTGAGAAGGCGCTTGGGGAGAGACTGGATGAAAGTAACACACAAGAGAGCCTCTGCTGGTTCTGCTGTAGCCAGAGCTGTTCCCCCGCCCTCTCCTGTCCTGACCTTTATCCTCAGCTGAGGAGTTGATGTCTCTCTGTCCTGACCACGCCCTCCTCTCTCAGGCTTGGTTTAGAGAGTGAGATGGACCGGTGAGATTCTGGGGCTCCGTGGTTTCGGGGGAAGTGGGAGATGGTATATCAATTGTGGAGCAAGAGGGGGGCTAGGCTTCAAGGACACTGGGGTTTGGGACACAGGGAGGGCAATTCTGAGGGAGCAGAGCAGGTTAGGGAGATTCAGATTCGGTGCCCAAGGGACCCACCCTCAGCCAACACTCACCTGGATAGGCTCTTTTCACTTGCTGCAATACTGGCTTCCAGACCCCAGTCATCAAAATTACAGCCAAAGCTACAATCACCAGCAGAGCTACCACGGATCCTACGATGAGGCCTAAGAATGAGTGTTTGGGGCCACACTTCCGGTTTGTCTTTGGGGTACAAGGAGTAGTTTCAACGTCTCCGTTGGTACACCTGGGCACACACAAGGAACAAATGATAAGACTTTGTGAGAAGGTCAGATGTGATGAAAGGGGAGTCACCCACTCTGCCCAGCGCCCCTGAGATGGCATTAAAGGAAGGACAGGCTCCTGTGTCTACACTCCAAATGTGTTCCCACATCTGGGCGCACACAGTGCAGACTTTGGGGAACTCTCTGTAGGCATGGTGGCAGCCTTTCTGCCTTTTCTGCAGGGTGTGTGCTGAGCTGCCCTGGGCTACAGGGAGATCCTAAGTTAGGAAAGAGAAGGACACCAGTGTGTGGTCACCACTGAGCCATGTCTTTGTCAACTTTAATAAGCAGACCTTTTTACCAATCATAGTAAATACCACGTGGTCGGGGAAGAGTAAGCGAACTATTTTCCCTCAGCTGAAGTTGAGACTGCAGGGACAGGGTCCTGGGTGAGGCCGGCTGAGTTGGCTCAGGTACCTCTGAGAACCCTGAGGGAGCCACACAAACACACACAGCCTCATTTATGTTTTTTTGCGGGCTTGTAGCACTTTTGCCTTTATTATAGGCTTCTGTCTGCACAAGAATTCTGAGGTGATGTAAGTCAACACAAGCCAGGCTATATTCTACTCATTCTCATGCTGCATTCTACAGATAGTAGACAAATCATCTGGCCAAGGGAAAAAGAATGGGTGGGAAAGGCCACGAAGGGATTGGTGGGGGAGAGGGACATGGAGAGATTTGCAGCTGGGCATGGAGAGGCCACAGCAGGATCAGAAGACCCCAACTGCTTAGAGATACCCTGTGGTGTGGGAACTCCGTGGAGTCGGAGGAAAAGAGAAGGATACAAGGAGGCTTGGGTCTTTTGGGGTTCCCCTGGGCTTGGAGGAGTTCCAGGGCCCCTGTGTCATACTCAGAGCATCTCTGGCAGAACTCAGGAGAGTTTTCATCTTCAAAGGTGCCTGGTTTACACTGACACTCCGTGTCCCGGGTGGAGGTACAGTTGCTTTTTATTTCTTTATCTGTGGAGTTAGAAGGATGAGTTTTCCTGGTTACTATGGTAACTTGTCCTCATGACACAGTTCCCTCTGCTTCAGCTCAACTGAACTTAGGCAGTAATAACCAGGGCCGGTTTCTATAACACCACAGCCTGGGGCATGCAGAGGATGGCCCCCATGAGCAGCTACCAGTACTCAGAGCCGTACAAAAGGAACACAATTCATGACCTCATGCATCAGATTTGGGAGGAACAGTCTTTTAGGACTTTTAGTCATGAGGACAGGTGCAAGGGATGCACAGAGGATGATCTTCAAACTCCTGGAAACAGGAAGAGCATGAAGAAGCGGAGACTGAACTCTCTCACCTAGCAAGAACTCAGAGCCTAGAACAAGAGAGCCTAGCCCAGAGCCAGCCGGGAACCCAGCCTGAACCCATTCAGCCATTCTTTTCTTTGTTACCAACTATGATGGTTAATCTCGATTGTTAACTTGATAAGATCGAGGATCATCTGGGAGACGGGCCTCTGGGCATGTCTGTGGGGATTTATCTGGATTAAGCTAATTGGGTGGGAAGACTCATACACTCTGGGTGGCACCATTCTTGGACTAGGCTCCTGAGCTGTATAAAAAGGAGCAAGTGCACTGGGCACACACATCTGTTACTCTCGGGGAACGGGAGTTGAGCAGCCGCTTCAAGCTCCTGCCCACCTTGACTTCCCCGCCACGATGGGCGGTTGATACCCTTGAACTGCGAGCCAGCTCGACCCTCCCTTCCTCCAGTTGCTTTGTTCATCTCTCAGCAACAGGAAAAGAAACTAAAACAATAACTACGACCTCAACACTTTGGCAGGCCCACCACAGGGAAGATGAATGCACGCTGAAGTTTCCTGTGGAAAGTTCTAGGAGTGGCCTCGGCTCTCACAGGGCTAGAAGGCAGCCATTACTAAGAAAAAGCCAATGGATCCTGAGGGTAAGGATAGAACATGGCATGTCACTTGTAGCTGGAGACTGACTACAGGGACAGAGGGGAAAACTCTCAGTGGCTCTTTTCCTTTCTAAGCTGGTGTTGCATCCCATGACCCACACTTCTGACTTCAACTTCTAGAAAATGCAAAGCGGGCAAGTTACTACCTGTTGTAACTCAAAATTTGCTCCTGGGTGTCAAATCCATTGCAGAGTCGGGGAGACTCATGCTGGACCCAGAATGGAATTAATGCCCTATTCCAAACATGCAGGGCTCTTTACTCCTTAATACTGGAACTCTGGCTGGAGACCTCGCTGTTCCACTCAGAACCCTGTATCTATCTATCCATCAAGGCCCGGCTCTAACGCTGTGTGCTCCGTGGAGCCCCACCACTCCTCAGGACAAGTCCTTGCCCACGGGCACCAGGGTGCTTCCTGTTCACCAAGTGTGCCAACTTACAAATCAATGGGTGGTGAAGGCAGTGGTAACCGCCCCATAATGCACCTGGGGGTACTAGGCCCTGCTCTCCACAGGGGCAGAGTAGTTTCTACCTCATGCTCAAAAGATGATTGCAATGATTCCTAAAACATAGCACAGATGAACTCCCCAGGGTTTTTGATTTTTTTAAATTTTTGTCTCATTGAATTAAGGATAGGGGGAGAACAGGGTGGGGTAAAGATCAAATTGGGCTGGAATGGAGGTTTCCGAGCCCATAGCAGTTATGATTCCCACCCCGCTAGACCCCATCTATGGGAAGGAGGCCCTTTGTTCCGCACCTTTCTTACAGACGCTGCAGGGTCTGCATGATTCCAGGCTGTTGGGAGAGCTGGTGTAGTCTATACCCTCCGTGCAGGGATTGCAAGCCCTGGTCTCAGGTGACCGGAAGGAGCCTGAGGAGGGAAAAAAAAAAAAAGATGATGAAGGAAACCTCAGGACTTCCAGAGCCGCGGTGAAGACCTGTGTCCTAGTTAGACAGACTGGGAAGGGGAGATCACTACTGAGGAACTGCCTTCCTCAGATTAGCTGTGGACATGTCTATGGAGCATGTTCTCTTTTCCCGTCCTTCCTTTTCTTTTCTTTTTCTTTTTCTTTTTTTTCCCATCACAGGCAATTTATTTTGTTCTATTCATTCACAGTTAATACAGAAAATACTTGGAAACATTTC